AAGGAATTCAAATTTCACTCAAATTTCCTATTTTGAACACAGAACTATTTCAGTTTGATCAACTGTAATGACTTTCTGCACCTACAGTAGCCTGGGCCTACAAGAAAGTACAATTTGAGCTTCAGTTAATAATCAATGAGTGATTTCATAACCCACAAGCTAGTAGCTGTGTTATCTCATACAGTGGAGACAAGCTTGTTTAATCACTTAACTACGAACAGATCACGAACATTTCATCAGAAACCATCTCCCAAAAACAAATACCCATGCTTCTTTCTCTTGACTTTTGTTAGTCTGACATCACTGTAATCTAGATACATGCATAAACCAGTCCTTAGACTTGGTCCTACTGTATATATTTCCATGTAACCCTGTATAATATAGATACCTGTATAACTTGATCCTACTGTATACATTTCCATGTAACCCTGTATAATCTGGTACCTGTATAGCTTGATCCTACTGTATACATTTCTATGTAACCCTGTATAATATAGATACCTGTATAGCTTGATCCTACTGTATACATTTCTATGTAACCCTGTATAATATGGACACCTGTATAACTTGATCCTACTGTATACATTTCTATGTAACCCTGTATAATCTGGTACCTGTACAAATTAAACCTTAATCTTGGTCCTTCTGTAAATATTTCTATGTTAACCTGTATACTATGGACACCTGTTTAAACCAGACTGACATACTAGGTCCCACTATATATATTTCTATGTAACCCTGTATAATCTGGAAACATGTATAAACCAGGCCTTCAACTAGGTCCCATTGAATATATTTCTATGTTAACCTTAATAATATGGACACCTGTATAAACCAGATCTTTAAACCTTGTATAAGTTCATTGTCGATGTAATGCAATTATCTAAACAGATATCATAATAGGTATAACATAACCTGTCTAATCTGAATCCTGCATAATATGGAAAATCCTGAACTGAATCCAACTCCAGTGGGCCTGTGTAATCCTGAAAATATGTCTCTTCTGAATATTTAAAGGCTGGTTAGTTCTCCTGTGTAATGATGTACTTTTCCTGGGCAACAAGATAATGATTATTTATGAAGAATGATGATAGGACTAGTGTGTATTAACTCATTGACCCCTGAAGACACATTTGAACCCTTCCAATTCAAAGGTTGGAATAGTTCATTATGAAATTTCAGGGGTGAATGAGTTAAAAATTGAGTTTGCCTGATGATAATGAACTTGTAACTGTTAACTGGCTGGGAATGTGTATTTATTATGAAGTCCCCTCATTCAAATGTGTTTACACAAACCTCCACTAACCATGCCTAAAACCACTGTCACATATCCTGAATGAGGTTATCATATCAACCCAACCCTAAACTTCTGATCAAAATCTTAATAGCCCCATGCGGTAAATCCTTTTCTTATGAACAAAAGACCTTCCTTCAATTTGCATGAAATAACTGCACAATGTGTTGAATAATGGTAATAATGAAATAACTGCACAATGTGTTGAATAATGGTAATAATGAAATAACTGCACAACACGTAGAGTAATTGTGATTACAGTGGTGTGACACCTACAGTGTGTAGAGGACTAAGAGCGGCTGGTCCTTCTGCCTGTATATAGCAGTAGTGTGGTGAGGCCTTGGTTAACCAGGGCTACGATAGCTGGGCCCACCACCTAAGCCAACTGATTAATCAATACAGCTGAGCAAACACTAGCTAATTCTCCCCACTTCTGGTTTCCAAAATGTACCTGGCTATAATTCTAACCATCATAATAATGTACAAGATCCCATATTTGAAATGCCAACTCCCCCTAAAAACAAAACATGTGTTGGTTAGAAGTCAGAGGTCAACAGCACTGCTAAACCTACCTTGAGAGTTATGTCCCTTATGTTGCAAGGCTTAGCTTGACAGCAGAGTGAAACAAGCTAGTGACTACCTACTACCTATTCTATTAACACATGTAGGCAGACTCGGAGTAATGAGTCAGCCCCCCCCCTCTCTCACACCTCTCCCTGGACAAACATAGTCTCACCTACTACCACAGAAGTCGGTGTCATGGTAAGACATTTTCCCCACACCTACATGTAGTTGATTTTAGTCCAGTCATCCAATTTATTTGAATGTTGACCAATAACACCACAATGTCTGAAATCCCTCCAAGTAAAAAAAAAAAAAAAAAGCACTTTTCAGTTTCATTTTGTTTTTATTTTAGAATAATACATTTAGACTTTGCACAATGCACCATTTCAAACTCAATTTCTGAGTATCACCCATACTGGCCTGTACCTCATCATATAATTTATGATCAAATCTGTATTCAGTTGAAAGTAGATCTAAAGTCAATGCAACTACACACTTCCATGATGGATTCTCTCTAAGTTTTACACAAGTACTTGATGTAAGGAGAAAATCTCTAGCTTTTTCCAGGTAACTACAGTGCCAAGATTTAATCTAATGAGCAAATAAATACAAATCTGCACTTGGGCTGTCAGAATTTCTCTAGACATGTACACTTTGTGCAGAAACCTCTCTAGACTTTACAATGTAAACAAAACTCGGCACACATGATAATAGTCTGTCAGTTGAAATCTCTCTAGATTCATCACTACCAAGCCAGCCAGCCTTACTAATACTGTACAAGTCTATCACAGCACAATGAATTACTAGATCATCACAGCTGTCAGCATACATCATGTGTTGTGGCTGCAGCTTGTGTGTGGAAGGATTCCCCACATACTTACCTCTACTACATACATGTGTCCCTGGCACGAGACACCAACCTGTGCCATCCCTTAGCGACTGTACATACAGCCAATTCTACCCATTTACTTTAGCACATAGTACAGCAGAAGACATAACTTGGGTTGTTTCCCCATTCCTCAATACCCTAATCAGTAGTAAAGGCAAAATGTAATCCACTTATTTCTTTCTAGTGTATCTGTAACTACCTTCTGGGAGAAGATCAGAAAAACGCAGTTATGCAACTGTCCATCAGCCTACTACCAATTACTACAACTGGGTTCAACAGATTTATGGACATAACCTGATGCTGGAAGGCAACATGGACCGGTCTGGACCTTTGGGGAGACTAGCAAGCAATCATCCTGACAAAATCTGTAACTGTTTTACACAGGAAGGCAGAAGTTCAAGCTCTTATGCAACTGTCTAGCTCTTAATGATTACAATACTAGCTCTTACTGGTTATAATACTAGCTCTTACTGGCATTAATACTAGCTCTTACTGGTTAAAATACTAGCTCTTACTGGTTAAAATACTAGCTCTTACTGATTATAATCTAGCTCTTACTGATTATAATACTAGCTCTTACTGGTTATAATACTAGCTGTTACTGGTTAAAATACTAGCTCTTACTGGTTATAATACTAGCTCTTACAGGCATTAATACTAGCTCTTACTGGTTAAAATACTAGTTCTTACTGGTTAAAATACTAGCTCTTATTTACTGGTTAAAATACTAGCTCTTACTGATTATAATCTAGCTCTTACTGATTATAATACTAGCTCTTACTGATTATAATACTAGCTCTTACTGATTATAATACTATCTCTTACTGGTTATAATACTAGCTCTCTTCCTGGTTATAATACTAGCTCTAACTGGTTATAATATGAGCTCTTACTGGTTATAATACTGGCTATAATACTAGCCCTAATGATTACAATACTAGCTCTTACTGGTTATAATATGAGCTCTTACTGGTTATAATACTGGCTATAATACTAGCTCTTAATGATTACAATACTAGCTCTTACTGGTTATAATATGAGCTCTTACTGGTTATAATACTGGCTATAATACTAGCCCTAATGATTACAATACTAGCTCTTACTGGTTATAACACTAGCTCTTACTGGCATTAATACTAGCTCTTACTGGTTAACATACTAGCTCTTACTGGTTAAAATACTAGCTCTTATTTACTGGTTAAAATACTAGCTCTTACTGATTATAATCTAGCTCTTACTGATTATAATACTAGCTCTTACTGGTTATAATACTAGCTGTTACTGGTTAAAATACTAGCTCTTACTGGTTATAATACTAGCTCTTACAGGCATTAATACTAGCTCTTACTGGTTAAAATACTAGCTCATACTGATTATAATCTAGCTCTTACTGATTATAATACTAGCTCTTACTGATTATAATACTAGCTCTTACTGATTATAATACTATCTCTTACTGGTTATAATACTAGCTCTCTTCCTGGTTATAATACTAGCTCTAACTGGTTATAATATGAGCTCTTACTGGTTATAATACTGGCTATAATACTAGCCCTAATGATTACAATACTAGCTCTTACTGGTTATAAAACTAGCTCTTACTGGCATTAATACTAGCTCTTACTGGTTAAAATACTAGTTCTTACTGGTTAAAATACTAGCTCTTATTTACTGGTTAAAATACTAGCTCTTACTGATTATAATACTAGCTCTTACTGGTTATAATACTAGCTGTTACTGGTTAAAATACTAGCTCTTACTGGTTATAATACTAGCTCTTACTGGTTATAATACTAGCTCTTACTGGTTATATTACTAGCTCTTACAGATTATAATATGAGCTCTTACTGGTTATAATACTAGCTCCTACTCTTTTAAACATGAAGTGTAAATGAGATATGAACACTTTACACATATATTTATTATCACATCTAATATCCCATGAAAGGGGAGGGGGGTTTATAGGGTGCAGGAGCTCGAGGGAGTCAGGAGTTGGTGATCAGGGCGAGGATGGGAAGGTGGTGTATGGGTAGGACTGGGAGTGGGAGGACGTTTATTTGGGGGGGGGGGGGGGGGGGNACATGAAAATGAGCAAACACTGACCAAAGGGAAAAATTTTCCTAGCCCAGCACACAAAGGTGTAAGCTAATGCTTGATCCATTATTACACCCCAACAAACGACAACAGCTGCTTGGTATCTAGATCAATGTAGAACATTGATAATGACTGTTAGAAAGGTCAACATGTACTTACAGTGACAAGATGTGTTTTGGTTGGTCAGTCAGGCCCTGTGACAGTTGGTCAGTCCAGCAGGACAGACAAACTCTGGACACTCAGCTTCACCCAAGATGACAAGTACACCACCTGTAATATAGAGATAGAACAATTATTATACAGGATAACCTGGTCTGTCTAGGGTTTATTACTTCTGACAGAACTACTGACCATTCATCATCAGGACATCTACTGAACCTCAAAGAACCAAGACCACCACATGTTGGTTATCTTCTACACACTAACATATAACACAAGTGATTTTTAGGCCTAGTTTTACAGCTGAATACAGGCTGCTTCCCCTTGCAAAAAGTTTTTTCCCCCAAATGGACGAAAAAATGAGAAATATCTCCCCAATTTCAACAAAAAATATTGCTATATTTTCCCAATTCAAGAAGGAACAGGTTGTTGCAAAATTTCAGAAAGAAAAACACTGAACACAATAATGGTATGCTTATATTTCAGGTAGAGTATGTACTGTACCAGTACTGTATCTATGCTGGAATCATACTCTAACTATGTTGTAATCATGCTGTAATTGTACCCTTGCTTTGCTATGATCTGTACCCATGCTGTAATAATAATTCTGTTGGGTTCATAACTAACTAGCACAGGCACAGTACATGCAATACACAAAATTCTAAAAATATCTCTAGGCTACTTGTTAGAAGATGTGTGTGGGTAAACTATCTCAAGGTAGGAGCTGTCCACTTGGCTTGTAAGAGTTGGGGTCAGTGGAGGTCAGTGGGGGTCAGTGGAACAAGTTACTTCCTACACTGGTTATTGCCTTTACTGATGTCATTCCTGACTACAACAGGTCAACTAAGTAGAATAGGGTCACGCTATATATGTTATTACAAAACAATGTCAACATTTTGAAAATTTCACATTATTCTTTAAAACTTTTATGTTATAAAAATATAACATGAATGAACATCACCAAATGAAACAGAGAACAGACAAAGTGGAAGATAATTTGTCTATAAGGAATATAGGAATAAAGGATATAAACAGTTTGGTGAGTAGCATTATCATAGGCAGAAATTCACAAGCAAGGAATATTTTACTTGCTTATTATTAAAATCAATTTTATTCTTTTTTAGTAGATAAATATTTGATTAGAACACTGGAAACTGGAAAAATCAACCTATACAAAAAAGATTTCAAAGAGGAGCTTAAACAATGGATATCTGAGATGTTTATTCATAACTGAAGTGGTAGGGTAACTACATGTGGCCTTGTCACTCTATAATAAGGTCACAATGTGTAACAGGTGCAGCAGCCTTGACCTCAGACAGCCTGTTACCTTAAATACAACTCTACAACATGTAATAGTGTTTTCCTAACTAAATGTTACAGCAGCCTGTGCCTACATGAGTTGGGAAAATAGATTTTTTTTAAACTTAAGACATTCCTTATTTTTTGTTCATTTTGGGAAAATAAGCACCTTTTTGCAACATGAAGCAGCCTGTTTTTCGCTGTAAAACAAAGTGAAAAATCACCATGTAACACAACACTATAATATTGTGGTAACTTGTACACTGGAATAAATGGTTGTGCCTTTTATAGGTGAACATAGAGTTATCTGTATACAGTAGATTACACAGATCTTGTGTTCACATAAACACTGTCAATTATTTACTGATTGGTGACTGATAACTTCAATATGTGTTAAATTAAACTTTTATTTCTTACACGTTATCTACATGTTCATATGAATAACTGCTCAAATGATCCTCAAATCTCAATAAATCGTTTGCATTATTCTTTTTAGAAGATTAACACAAAATACTTTTTCCTTTATTAGCTAACATAAAATACCTACAACTAAATAAAGATACTGTAAAGCATCTATACCTAGTATATATATATATATATATATAGGTTAACATGAAAAACTAATTACCTCAAATTGGTAAAATAAAATGCATGTACCTGATATGCAGACATTTTGTATAAGACTTCCATAATGACTACAGGTGAACATTAAATACCTGTATCTAGCACATGTGTATAAAACAATGCTCCTCGTCACACAGACACGACAGAACTATGTATATGTTAGGATACAGTGCTGAAGGTGTTACTCTTCTATCTTATAATCCACTGCGGAAGATTACAATGAGAACGAGATCAGTAGATATATATTTCCCTTGTGATATCCAGTTGTCAACTTATTCCTTATCAGACACAATGGTACACCTTGATTATGATGCATGTCTATATGTAGAGTTTGACTGGATAACCAAGGACCCGCAGGGCTAGCACTAGGATGTGCTCGAGTGATGAGATGAAATGTCACGTTTGCCAAGGTCGTTGGTCCATTAACATAAAAAAAAACTGCCAACTCCTCCTCAGTGTTACATCACAGGAGGTACAGGTACAGTCTGGTTACCCAAAGATTGACAAACTGTCGACCTATCAGCTGTGTACTGCACCAGTCATTACTGTACTTTCTAGCTTTAACTCATCCACTCCTGAAGACACATTTGAACTCATCCAATTCGAAAGTTGGAATAGTTCATTATGAAATTTCAGGGGTTGACGAGTTAACGCGGGATCACTCGATATAGACACATATATAATGGTCCCTAAAGTCCTACAGTTAAATATTCCCACAATGCCATCATTTGTCCAACGGAACTTTAAACATTAATATAGATTTTGATGTTAGTTCTAACCTTTGATTACGGTGAACAAATATTTAAACACGACATAAGACAAACACATTGAGTGAAATGTGAATTAAAATCCTTGTGAACAAATACAGAACAGTCAATTCGTGAAAATTAATACGACAAGTAACAATTTATCTAAAGTAACACTTGAAACGAAAAATTGGGAAAAAAGGACCCTGAAATGTTATTGGTATTTGATACCATAAATAAAAGAAAGGACATTATATCAAGGTTTTATTGTGGAACGAAATAGAAGGATATTTCGTAATCACATTTTTTTACCACCTGTATACTTAAATCAACAGAGAGCATATCATGAAAGAAAACCATCACCTGCTGTATCACCTGTGACACTTCAATTTCTGTTATTTATATATATATTGTGATAAAAACAAGATGTTTTCAAAAATTAAAAAAATCATAATTAGATCAAAATAAATTCCATTTTAAAATCCATCACTAATATCTATCATATTTGTATGAGGATCTTTGCATCAATCTATTACTGATAAAGTTGTAAACAAATGGACAAGAACCTGTTTACCTTTGAGCTTGATCTCATCATCATTGCCACCTCACTACAAAGGTAATATATATTATAGAATCCCTTATTCCCACCAGTCAACAATGCCCTTCACAAATTTGTGTTGTAAGAAATTTTCTTGAATAAAATGTAAATATATTTTACAGGATTACAACATCTGTGTGCTCCGAGTAGTAGATCAAGGTCGACATCTATCTATATTTTTTAGCAGCGTAAACACATGCAGCAGCCTCTTCATCTAGTTACTTTGCTAATGAGGGTCATTAGTTTACCTCCTATAGCACATATTGTTTTATTGATCGGAAGGAGACGGTTGACGTCCCTGGACTGTCGATGGCCAAATCATGTGTATCAGGTGGAAGTCACATAAAACACTGAGCAAGGATTGATCCTGTCACAATCTGATGATTGGAGTACAAAACCTGAACACTCCATAATCTTACAATCAATGAACCATCCACTGATCTGAGGCTCAGAGCACATTGAACTGAACCATCTATAGTCTGACAACACAAGAACTTACCACTGGTTCCAGGCTCAGAATACAATTTTCTGAGCCATCCACATTATGACAATGCCTGAACTGTCCACTGATGTGAGACTCAGAGCACATTGAACTGACTCATCTACAGTCTGACAACACAAGAACTAATGCTGGTTCCATGCAGGCTCAGAACACACTGAGCTGAGCCATCCACATTCTGACTATGCCTGAACTGTCCACTGATGTGAGACTCAGAGCACATTGAACTGACTCATCTACAGTCTGACAATGACTGAAGTAATGCTGGTTCCAGGCTCAGAACACACTGAGCTGAGCCACTACAGTCTGACAATGCCTGAACTATCCACTAACCTCAGGTTCAGAACAAATGAAATGAACCATCTGCTCTCTGACAATGCCTGAACTATCCACTAATTGAGGCTCAGGCACAAGTACTGAACCATCTACAATCTGAGATCTGAGGCTGAGCATTAAACCTTCCATAATCTCATGATGTCAGAACCGTCAACTGATTTCTGGCCTAGTGAACAATGGCTGAACTCTTGCTCGCATCCTCCCATGAGGATAATCCATCTTTATTCGATAAATAAATCTGAACAATTGGTACAATATACATGTATGCATGAAATTATTGAATCAAAAGATCTACCTTGTTTCCCAGCAACGGACACATTGAGATACATTACAACAACTCTCCCAGGAACTGAAAACCCGGTCTGACTTCCCAATCAGAAACGATACAGGAAGGGACTACATACATCTCATCAACAAGTGTTCTGCATTACCATATCAACGTCAGCAGCGATCGCAATGAAAATCTGTTTCACTGATGATTCATTTACAAAATGAGATTTGACAGATCAATGACACTTTCTGTCAGGAAGTTAGAAGAGTCAACGATAAGGGGAACAACTCTAGCAACCAAACGACCTTAACAAAAACCTTCGGCAATTTGCTTGAGTATGTTCCTTATTTATTACATGGTGTTAAAACTGACGGCGATGACAAAAATAGCATTGAGAGTGGATGTGTAAGGCTCCCACCGCCAGTGTGTTGGAGCATCATTTCTAGATTAGCTTAAGGGCATTACCTCAAATTAAAACCAGTACCACCATTCTTTACACCATGAGCTAAAACTTTTGTATTCTAAACTAGAACAGCTTCTATCCATGTACTTTGATGAATTTGTTGGTAAAATAAATTTCAGATTTATAACTTCACCACTAGAAACATCAAACTATTTGCCATTCAAGCTTATATATAGATATCGATGGAGCCATAAGGCACACTTGTCACTGTTAATTGAAGATATCATATTTCTAGTCTCCTAATAAAAACCTCTAGGAGCAGCAAAATATCAAAG